GCCCTTCAGGCAGGGGGCTGGACTTGATGATCTTCCGAGGTCCTTTCCAGTCTTAACGTCTATGAAAGCTGAAGGAGCTAGGCATGTTGTTTGCAGAAAAGGTGGTTAAGAGAGGACGTGACAGCAATCTTCTAATGTCTGAAGGGCTGCCATAAAGAAGAGGGAAAGCACCTGTTCTGTCTTGCTGCAGAGAAGAGGACGCAGACCAATGTCTTGAAGCTGCAGCAAAGTAAATTGAGCTTGGATGTCCGGAAATGCTTCTTCACTATTAGAAGGGTAGGGCAGTGGCATAGACTGCCTAGGGAAGCTGTGGACTCTCCATCACTGGAGGTGTTCAAGAGCAGGTTGCACAGCCACTAGTCAGGGATGATATAGACGTACCACGCCTACGTTCTACTATGGGTATTTTGGACTGGGAAACTATCTTGTCCCCAACAGGGACAAAGGAATACTCACACTTTGGTGGAGAGTTCAGAATCATTTCCCTCTCACTTACATAGATACTTCTTTATCTAATAAAGTTGCAGCCTTTATGCCACAAATTCTCTTTGACTTGAGAGAGACCTCTTGCTCACAGGCTCCCCACATGTGATCTGGCTATTTCTTATTAAAGAGCATGATCATAAATAAGTGATGAATTATGCTGGCCACGGGATTCTTTTCTCTGCAGAAAAGCTGAATTACAGCTCATTCACAGAACTGCATAATGGAAACTTGCAAACTTCCTGAAAACATTATGTCTGCCCATAGTCAATACTATGAGGCTTTGCCTGCAGGTACATTATACAGAGAGAGAGAGAGAGAGAGAGAGAGATTACCTTTAAAAGCATCGGCCTGCTGCTCCACAGATTCTCTCACCATTTTCCAAAAGCAATCTGACACAGCAAGGCTTAGGTTGCGTGTTGTTACCTGGTGGGCCTTCAGCATACATGTTCTGTGAAGAAAGAGATCCATACGTACAGAAAAATATTGCAAGAATAAAACCCTATTTTATGTACTAGAAAATAATTCAACATGAGAGCATGCATCTGCCTAAAACCTTGATTCTCCACTCAGGCATCCAAATGCACAAAATTGCATTTGGAGTCTTCTTAGCATTAAAACACAGGTTCAGTGCAGCCTCTGAGGGAAACTTTGGGACACAAGTGTCTAAGGAACATGCATCTGGTCTCTTCCTTCACAGGAAATGCAAATTTGCTAAATCAGAAGCATCTGTTCAGTTCACTGCAGGCAAACCACATAGCTAGCTGTTAGAGGGGGAAACTACGTTTGCCCACACAGATCTTTGAGAATTAGAAGACATTGCAACATATGCAAAGTGATTTCCTAATCAAAGTCTGTAAAAAGTTAAACTACAGAAATGTGTTTGCAATTATTGACGAGATGCCAAAAAATAAATAGCGACGTACTTTAAGAGTTTTGAATTCTGAAAAAAATCCTCTTCATATTCTTTAATAGAGTCGATACTTTCATTGGTGTTTCCTAAAGAAAGGAGAGAGGTGCTGCAACAGTTCTGTTGAGGCAATGATTCATTCCATGTCAGCAAAGAGTCAAAGAATCAGACATGGAACTCTATTTACCTTTTCCAGTAACAACTGCAAAATAACCCAGCGCCTTCATTGGGAAGAGTTTACCTTCAATGATTTGTTGGATCTACGAAAATAAATATAAAAGACTACAAGCTGAACTCATGTGTGTTCTCATTTCTTTAACACACTTTTAAAAACATTTAAAAGTTCTATTTAATGATAGAGAAATCTGACAAAAAATAGTTTTTTAGGGGATTACGCAAAGGCTCCACTACATTTTGAAAAATGTAATTTAAAGGAAAAATACTAAAATGGAAGCAAACTATTTAGAAGACCAAAAGTCACTTGAAATGAATAAAAGCACGAAGTCCAGTCAAGGATTAGATTTACATAAAGATGGAAAGACATTTTTCTGACAGGTAGGTGCATTGCTATGTTTGTATTTGCACCACAATTCTCTGCAGTGCTGTCCTAATTTAGGAACTGGGGCAGGAGGGGGAATGCAAGTTTTATACTTGCCCTGTTTGGACTGGCCACATTTTTTTCAGCAAGGTCCACTTTAGTCAAAACAAAAATTGTCCTCTTTCCTTGAGGATCCATTTGACTGACTAAGTCGGTGACAATACTGCGCTCTGCATCCACTGACCCATCTGGAAAAAAAAATACAAAGTTGCCACTTCAGGGACTGGTAAGCAAAACTCAGCACTAGAACTGTAAGAATTTAAGAGGTATTAAAATTATATATATATTTTTAGTAAGCTGGTTGATTGAAGTCCATAATGTTAATGATGAAAATTCCTAATCATTTAGCTTCTGGCACAAGCAGAAAAACATTTCCATTTTTTTCTTTCCATTAGAAAAAATTGGGGTCTTGGTAACAGAGTGTTTAAAATGACAAACAACAAAAATAAGATTTAAACACAAGCTAAAATACACTGAACTTTAAACATTTACTAGGTCTTCTAAAGGGTATTCTCTCTGCTACAGTCTGCAACCTTTGAACACTGTCTCGGGGAAACTTTGGCCATGTCCAGACGAGTGGCTGTGTGGTCTGCAGTGCCACACACTGCACATTCAGGTGTTCTGCACATTGGTACCTTGCAAACCCCATGGTCAAAAAAACCCACAGGAAAAAAGCAGGGTGGTGCACATGGCAACAGCATGCACCACCCAAAACTGGAGACTGGCTGGCTGGAGCCACGCTCCAGCTGGTGGCCAAGTTCTCAGCTGTAGGGTCACGGGGGCTGCAGCTTCCCCAGCTCCAAGCAACTGTGCATGCCCCAGCCTCCCCGACCCAACCTGGGGTAACCTGCTGCACGCTAGAGCATGCATGGCACAGGCGTTCCCTGGGGACAAGCAACAGTGGCACAAAGTGTGCCGCTGCTTCTTGTCCCCGGGGTACCAAACATCCGTGCTCCTCTGGACACAGCCTTTGTGTTTAAGCTGCGTCACCATCTTGGTTATATTTTAAAAGTAATAAAAAGCATGCAAGAGCTGTATCCATTTCTTTTCATTAGTGGCAAAAAAGTTCATGTGCGGTACTGTCTAGCTTAAGAAAAAAAAATGACAACCACCAAGGGCCGGTGTGGCCCACAGACCCAATTCCTACATTGTTTCAGATGACCTGTATCCATTTCTTGAGAGCACAGAAGGCTTAAACATTGATTTCTGCTCAGGGCCAGCTTTCTAAAACTCTGTTTGAACAATCTAAAGAGCCTGTTGCAAGGCTTTAATTGATAGAAACAAATACCATATGAATTACTGTCTCTAGTCTTAACTTACCTTGAATACAAAGGATGATGGCGTTAGGGTTCTGCATATAGGCTTTGCTGATACTGAAGATAGTTTCCTTAGTGTCTGGAGCCATACCTGAGGTCACAGTCTATAATATACATATATAAGAAAGAGGTCACAAAAGACTGTTTCCTCTGGCAAGAGATTATCAACTAATATTACTGCTGTATACTCACACTAATGACACCAGGCAAATCTACCAGGACCATTCTCTGCAGGCCAGGACCTTTCACGTTTAAGGAAATGGTCTGTAAAACAACATTGGAATGATATTTTTTTCACTGCAGGTTTTTTTGTTTTTTTAAAATACAAAAAGTCTCATGTTAAATGAAAAATAGGCCTGGCAGAAGAGTTGTTTTACAGGATCAATGCAGTTTATATTGTGCAGTTCTTACAGCTGGTACCAACTCATTAGAGACAGCCCCAGAATTGAACAGACAAGTACAAATGAGCTATATAAAAAGAATTTTCCCCCACAGTGAACAGCAAGCCTTACCTCAGTACTAACAGTGCATCCTTCTTTCACGCTGTTCCTCATTCTGATTTCTATCTCATTTCTCAAGGCTGCAAGCTGTTTTGACACAACCAAAGATTTTAGAACTAATAACACTCAGCACTAACCAAATATTACCTGTTAATTGTAGAATGTCCACAAGCATGCGTGAAAAAGGGGAATTGTCAGCTATAAAGCAGCTTTTATTCCAATATCTTTGTTTACAAATGTTGATGAGACTCAAAAGGCACTCGAGAGGCATGTAAAAAGAATATCTGTTTTGGTGAGTGGAGTCGCAAAAGACTGACTAGGATTGCTCTTGGATTCTCAGCACTCAAAAGTATTGCTGGAAGCGGTAACACTCAGGCGCCTGTTCAACTGGGTACAATTCATCACCTCTCAAATCTAAACAGCAATCATACTGAAATGGAGTTTAACCCTTAGTAAAATGTTTTGCTTTATTCAAAAGTCGTCTGGCTTTGTACTCAAATGGGGAACAACTGCCCAGCATAGACATCTATTTTTTCAAACAAAGATACAATCAACATTACATTTTCCTCCATCTATTTCTTATACTCACATCCTCCTCCTTGGTCAGATCAAACTCCCGAGAGCTATCTTTGAACAAGGCCACATGGTGGGGACCTTCACTAAGGGTGACCTAATAGGAAGAAGAAACATGTTACTAAAAATCTTAAAAGAAAAGGGCTACAGGTCAGAAAAAAAAGAAAGCACATGATGACAATTGAAATTTTCAAATATAATTTAAATGATTAACAAAACTCAGGAAAGGTTCTTGATTGATAACTTTCTAAATGAAAATTATTTAGTTATTCACCAAACAGGTAAGTGACAGTGTAAGTAGTCTCAACTAAAGTCAGTGCGGCTACCACAGTAGGAAGTACTACATACACTCTAGCACAGGAATGGGCAAAATACGGCCCTCAGGCAGGAGGAATTTTGCCTGCCCCACAGTGGATCCCTCGGTCCTGTCCGGCTGAAGCACATGGGGCAGTCCAGGTCATAGCGCGTGCAGCTGGTCCCATCACACCCAGGTGTGCAGGGCTGGGACAGCATGGCAGCCAGACTCCATTTTCCAGCAGCCCCGGCAGTGGCGGCTCCTTCCAGTTGCCACTGCCGGACCTAGCCCCACTGCCCATGTATCCTGCACCCACTGCCAGGGGCAGCACCCATGTGAGCAGGGCCCATGGCCAGGCAGTATGGATAGAGCCACAGGCAACAGCCTCCAGGAGCAAGATGGGAGGGTGAGGCCAGAGACCCTGGGATCTTGGGACAGTGACAGGGCTGGCGCAAAGCCGCTATCAGCTGCCTGAGCACCCCTGCGAGAGGTGCGGGTCCTGCAGGCAGGGGCATGCAAGGAACAGACTGCAGCTCTGCCCTGGCCTTATGCTGTCACTGCCCCATGACCCTGCCCTACGATCCCAGCCTCACCTGCTCCCGCACACTGCCCCGCATGGGGATGGGAGGGGGACTGATCAGCATGTGACAGCTCAGCAAAACTACCTATATGGCCTGCCGATTGCCCATCCCTGCTCTAGGAGCACATATTGATAGGATCTGGCCATGCAGCATGTTTGCCATCAATGATACTCTCTTAAAAATCAGGCATTTGTGTACACGTGCAAATTAGCTTAATTATCAGATAAGACCGACTCATCGTTTTAGGATGCTTTGATTCTTGAATATTGTTATAAGGATTAAGATACATCTCTGCTGTTTACCTTAACAGGAGAACGGGTCATCATCTCCCCAGACCCTCGAGGAAATATCCGAGCTTGGGCAATCATTTCTAGCACGCTGGTTTTTCCTGCACTCTGATCTCCAACCACAACTACCTGAAATGACGGGTTCAATAATCACTGGCCTTCAGTCATTAAGACAATTTCTGAGTTTCACAAAATGTACTAAGAACTTAGTTTAAAGATCAACAGAAAGTACAAAAATCCATATAAACACTGGTTACTAGGGCTGTGCGAAGCTTTGGGTGGCGATTTGATCCGGAGGAGATTCGGCCCCATTTGGTGGCCGAATCTCCGAATCCAAATCCAATCGGGGGACCAATTTAAAGGTCTGAATCAATTCAAAGCTCTCTGAAGCGTTAGAAAAGATTCAGAGAGCATCCATGATTTGAGCAGTCCCTGGTGGCTGCAGCAGGGAGCTGTAGCCAACTCCGAGCTGGTAAGTACTAGGGGCAGGAGAAGGGGGCTGGGGAGGGGACCATGGGGGGAACCCTGCCAGCCTCCCCGACCCCTCCCACTTCCCAGCCCCCCCTGACTGCCTCTGCCTGTCCCAGCTCAGTACTTTAAAAAAAAAGCCTTGG